TAGTCCATTGCTCAGTATGCAGCCAATGTTTTCAGCAGTGCTTCTGGCACGCCTCACGGTGGCTCCCGATTGCCTACCCTGGGCAAAAAGAAGCCCCCCCTCTCCCCTTATGCCATCACCTGCACATGCCCAAATATGAGCACTTGATGCATCACAACCGTAGCGTTGCTTCGACTCAAGAGCTAAGCACAAGCCGATCCGCGCGCATTTGGCGCACCCTTTGCCAGGGGCAGCAAGCCATGAAGCCTCCTCTGGGTCAGCATCCTCAGAGGCTTACAGTGCTTCATCAAGTTCAAGAAGGATATCATGATACCTGCAGGAATGTTTGTTAATTTATTCAAGTTTGTCGGCATCAACGAGGTCAAGCTCCACTGCGCCAGCGGAGTCATGGACTTAGATCACGCCAGCCAGCAACGAGTTGCAGTTATCAGCTCAGCCCTACGCAGGGCGCGATGCGAGGCCCCACCTCAGTACCAACGAGAAAGAACGCTGACTCTCATGATCTACACCAAGGGCTACGAGAACAAGAAGGCGCTCATCTACGCCCCTGGGGCCCCCCAAGCAGAACCGCAAGGCGCTGCTCCTTGCTCAGGCATCATAAGGCCATCCCAAGGAATCACCGCGTCTGAGACCTTGTCGCGCAACTGCACCTACGTCTACCTTGACCTGGGTTACATCTACGTCCCCGCGGCAGTTCGCGGGGGCTTCGTGCGCGCCACTTGCCGTCGCCACGTCGCCATTGCCTGCCATGCAGCAACTGGGGAGTGCTGGAAAGACATGATCGAGGAGAGCTGGGTCACCGTGCTGCAGCTTCGTCGCGCGCTCCAGCAACGAGCTGTGGACGGGCGCAGACCATTGGATGGATCGACCTGATCATTGCCATCACTACCGCACCGCTACAACATAGCGCACACAAGAAACGCAGCAAACGACCATGACCCCAAGAATACCCCCGCCCACAACTTGGAGTGGCACGACATCCAATAGCTGGCAAGCGCTGCACCACCACTATTATGAGCACCACCTTGGAATATCAGGGACGAGGAGCCCCTCGCGAACCTCCAGACGCTACGCATCTTCAAAAGGAAAGGCATGGAAATGATCCACAATTTCGAAGAGATCGAGCGCAGAGCCATCCACGGCAACATCGAGAGATGCACCCAGGAGGCGTACATCGTGGCAATCACTGACGTGTACGGCACGCTTCACCCCACCTCAGAGATTGGAATACTGGCGGCATACCGCAAGAGACATGTAGGAAACCCGCGGAGGAGGAGGAGCATTGCATCCATGCGCGGGCAACTACATCCTCCCCGTCGACCGCCATCACATTACGCCGCAGACGATCGGTGGACCTGCACTGCGAAGAAACCGATCTCAGAGGACAGCGAGTACCAGTGCACTTATGCCGCCGACGAGACCGCACTTCTGTCAGCACGTACAGGCACATATCGAAACCCACCACTACCCACCAAGGAGATCGACCACGGGACGATACTAGAACTGATCTCACCTACCAGCGACTTACCCACATGGCTCTGCATCATCGACAACGCCCTCATCGAATGCCCAGCTTAGGTGCTACAGGATATGACCACGATTTCGGAGACATGCACAACAATAATCGGTGGTGCTACCGACGTCCACGCGGAGGCCCGCCAGCGGGATATCATCGTTCACCAGGTCGATTCTACCCCAGATGGAGATGCATTACCAGTGATTACGAAGCACCAGCATACAAGCGACGTACTGAGATCCTGCTGGGTGGCATCATGCTGATCGAGGTCAGCGACATCGACGAGATATCTGAACAAGACGCCCACAAAGCAGGACAAAGCTACGCAATGCTGGCTTTCAGCCCGTCAACTGGGCCCCGGGCTACTTCCCCGACTGGACTGCAGCTTTCCCAGAAGTCCGACCACAACAGGCGCAGCGACCAGCGCGCGCTATCCCAGCAAGTGCCGACCTGCAGTTCAGACAAAGAAGGTCAACTCCACAGGTCCAACAAACCATCCCTTTACCTATGCCGATTATTTCCCAGCTCATATGCAACCAGAACGCGAATCCTACACCGGGCCAGCCGCCGCCGCCGACGGGGCCGCCCCCGGGCAGAGCCCCAATGCAAACCACAGCGACGACGCCGACCTTTCGATGCTTCCGAAACCCAGTCGCTCCGCCAAAGTACGAACAAGGTGACGTTCTGCGGCCCGACTCCAATAGCCATGCAATGCTGCCACCTGGCTGGCAGGCCCTCGCCGACGTAGACAGGGGCCTCCCTTGCTACCACAACCTGCAGACCGGAGCCACCCAGTGGAAGTTCCCAGGGGGCGTCAACTACGACTCATGCTGCGCTCGACAGCCAACCGACCAGAACGTCGAGGCCTTCGGCATCAACAAGGACGGCTGCTTCTACCACAGCCTCAGGCCGATGTCCCCCTCGAACGATCACCGCCCAAAGCAAGAATACCCTGCCAAACGAGAGCAGGAGGGCAATGCAATGACATAGACCATCCACGACTCACTCGACACGTTGAGGACCCAATAACAACAGGAACAAGAAGCACGCGGTTGGGTTGATCGAGCACATCTGTGGTGCAGCGACATCGCAGGCGGCGCCTTCTTCTCCCACCTCAAGGTGAACCAGGAACCCAGGCCGTTCCACACCTTCGGCAACAACGTGCTCGTGGTCGCACCCATGCTGGAGGAAGGCCCGCACCCTCCGCGCGTGAGTCGCATCATCCACGGCATCAGGCAGCTGCGCAGCCCCAGACCAGTGCTCGCACCATGCGACGACCACAGCACCTCCGAGCCGGAGAGACGCATCGAGATGCCACCGACTCGCTACCCGACCACGCGCGAAGCCACCCTGCACAAGGACGGAGACACGACGATCACCGAGATTAACAGCACGGCCCACCTACCGAACAACGAAGCACATACGAGCAGCGCAGATGCACCCACCAGCGCAACCCCAACAACCACGCCCCCAGTACCGACTCTCAACCAGATGCACCAACCAACCCAACCTAGTGGCACGATCCCAGCAGCGAAGCCTGCGATATTCAGAGCATCGCATACCCTACTGACTATCAGAGAAGACATAGTAGAACAGCCGACGCACGTGATCGACTACGAGGGCAAGACCATGCAGCGCGAGCTCGACCCGCAGGAGCGACACGCACCCACTTGAGAACCCAGCTGCTCGAACCCGGTTTCCAGCGACCGCGCGCCGGCAGCGCGCGATAACCAACCACCTGCCGTAGAGGTCAAACCACAGAGACCCAATGGTTGGTTCCCCATCACTACGATCACACACGAGAAGGTCAACCCCGACGCAATCACCTTCCCGATGGGAGCAACCATACGACACTCGTTCCATACTAAGCTGGTGGAACGCGGCACAATCGCGGTGAACGAGGGCGACGAAGTCACAATCCTCAGTATGTCCTACAACAGCAGCAGTGACCATGGGCACGGGGCACCATCATTCAGACCAATACCATGCGGAGCACCAAACAAGCTCTGATATCAGACTCATCACGGAACACCGATCCCAACACAATGACACCCAGGAGAAGTTCGATATCCACACTACATTGGTAGGTCAACACAACGTCAGCTACAACCAGGCCCCCAACATCCAGAAGGAGATCACCCTGGCCAAGGAGTCCATGACCAAGGTCATCGACAGCGTCAACGAGTCCATCAACCACCTACGCCCATTAACAACGGCGATGGCCGTCCTCGCCATCACACACCAAACACTGGGCGACCGCACGAGGTGCCCGCGCGCCCGACGTTGTCACGGCCAAAAGACACGTCTTCCCGAACTCCGACCTACGCTCCGACTGTTCCCCATCACCGAGCACGCCTTGATCCTCATCTTCCGCGTCGTCCTCACCTTTGGCAGAACGAACACACGTGCATCTTTATCTCCTACGACCTCTGCTACCCCATGTGCACAAACTTCCCCCTCGACTCCCTCTTCCTTTTCGGCCTCTATTCACACATCTTGCTGAAATAATCCTACCTCTGAGGGCCAAGCAGGGAGGCGGGGGTACTTGGGTCGGGCATGTGAGAGGTTAGGGAGAGAGGTGTGTGGGGGCATCGGTTAGGCGGGCGCAACACAGTCAACCCGTAGGTCCCTTCCCTCGTGTCCTCCCCTCCTTCGCTCGATCCGCCGTACGTGTCCTCCTTCGACCTCCTCTTCGGGGCCCCCGTCCGTTTCTCCCCCTCTCGTGCATCGCCGGCGCCACCACTAGAGATCGGCCCATTTTTGCAACCGCGGTGCCATTGGGCACCCGCAGGAAGGGGGCCAATGGCAGCGCCCACAGACAGGACCACATGCCGTGAGCGAGCGCGCGAGCGAGCGAGCGAGCGAGCGAGCGAACGAGGAGGAGGAGGAGGAGGAGGAGGAGGAGGAGCCACAGCAGGAGGAGGAGGAGGAGGAGGAGGAGGAGGAGGAGGAGGAAGGGGAAAAAGAGGTATATGAGGAAAGCCAGGCTCACGTGAGCGACGGAAGACATCGGGGTCGATTGCGCGGACACTCCCGAGTCTGTTTCCCGCGTGCGGTCGCGCGTAAACGCCCCCTCTTGTCCACGCGGTGTGCCGCGCTGGCGGCCCGCGTAGGCCGCGGCGTAAAATCGCTTCTTTCTTCGCTCGCGCGTCGCTTCGTTCTTGTACGTTCTGCACCCCCCACGACCCGCGCGGCTTCTGCGTGAGCTGCTTGGCCGTTGCCGTGCCCTGCCTCCCCTGGCGCCGAGCCCGCTGCTGCCCTGTCGCTGCCGCTGCCGCTCCGCCACTGCGCACGGCCTCGCAGCGCCCGCTGCCGCGCAGTGCCCGCTGCCGCGCAGTGGCCGCTGCAGCTGCCGCGCAGTGCCCGCTGCCGCGCCCGCGTCCTGCGCACGGGGTCGGGAGCGGGGCGGCGGCCTTCTGCGCGGCGAGGGGCCCTCCGCGGGCGGGGGGGGCGCCTGACCGCGTGCCGCGGGGCGCCCCGGCCCATGGCGGGCGCCCGGGCCCGGCCAGGGCGGCGGGCGGCGCCGGGCAGCGCTGTGGCGGCGGCGTTCGGGAGCCCTGAGATGGGGGTCAATGCAAAAGGGGGTCAGCCAGAGCGCCAGACCTTGCAGGATCCTGCCAAGCCAGGGTTGCACTGTCCCAGGCTTGCGCGATCCTGCAGGATCTTGCAGGATCCTGCAACACCTGACTGACCCGAGTTTGCATTGACCCCGGGTCAGTGCGTCCCCGAGGCGTGCTGGACGCTGCTGGTGTGGCCGTTGTCCTCGGTCTCAGCACAGACTCTGAAGCTGTCGGCCACGCTGACGATCGAGAAGACCGACGACAAGGCGAAGACGAACGACAGCGTGGCGGGGCTTCTCGCCTACGCGAAGGAGAAGAAGCTCGAGGCCAACGTCGTCCGCTTCCTGGAGAACACCCTGCAGCAGCTCTCCAAGGTTATGGACGCCGCCAAGGTGGTCGAGGAGCAGAAGGCCGTGCACGTCCCCAGCGAGTTTTGCCCCGCGAAGTACAAAGTGAAGTCCATGCCGAAGCTTCAGGCCAAGAAGGTCTCTGTGAAAAAGATTACCGCGAAGGATCTGCAGGCACGCCTCGAGCAGGGCAAGGACCTCAGCTTCAAGGAGCCCCTGCTTGTCACCAACGCCACCGGCCTGTTCCAGTCTGGAAAGTGGGACGCCATCAGGAGGCACTGGCACGCTGGTCGCATCATGGAAGACGACCACCTCGAGAGCAACTTCAAGATCGAGTATTGGGCCCCCGACAAGGCGCGCGCCCGGCTCGTCGGCAACATGCTGCAGATGGAGGAGCCAGAGGTTGTTTCGTTCTCTCGTTACATTGTCATCTGCTTCCACGGCACCCCTGCCAAGCCCAAGCTGCCCGGCCAGAACACCGAGCACTGCGAGCAGGTGGTGGATGCTACCAAGATGGTGCACAACCTTTCGGAGCTGGAGGAGCTGAACATCTTCCCGAAGGTGAAGAATGCACTGCCCCTGCAGGCCGCATTCAGGCAGAAGCTGCTGGAGGCTGCTGGTGGTGAGCTGTCCAGCATCCTCGGTAAGGTCAGCGGCAACGTTGGGGGTACTTGTCCCAGGGGGTGCATCGACCCCCAATCGCCCATTCATACCCGATAGGGCTCCATAGCCCACCGCCCCCAGGAACGTGCTGATTCGCTATCGTGGGTCTACTGCCGACCTGTCGGCGACGTACCGCCGATTCGGGCTAGATGCTTCCCCCCCGTAGCTGGTCCCCTGGTTGTTTTTGGGTCATAGCTCGGGCTTCCGGCGGCCGTTCGGGATGATTCTCGCAGCCCTGGGACGCTCTCGACGAGGTGCAGCCGATGGAACGCATTCCGAGGCTGGGAATCTGCCGAGATACCACGAGAACGCCCGAAAACCTCTCTGGGCGGCGCCCAGCGTCCGAAAACCGCGCCAGTTACCCCCCCCTCCCGGAGGATACTTAGTCCATACGAGTAAGTCCATACGGAGTTCTAGGTCTCCGTATGGACATGATTCGTCTGGATTTAGCCTTTCCCGACCCCCCCTGAAAAGGGCGCCGAGAAGTGGAAGCAGGGCACGGGGAACCTGCCCTACAGGCACTTCGCCTTCGGGCCCTCGGGCTCTGGCGACAAGCTGCACGCGGAGAACGCGCTGCCAGTCTTCGACATCCTCATACACGGGTCGAGGCGGTGGCTGCTCCTGAAGGATCGAAGAACAAACAAACTCTGACACCGATATGAATGTTCGGAGTTCCGCGCGGATTTCTTGGATCGTCGTGGCGGCGCCTGTGGCGCCGCCCTTGCCGCCCTCCGCGCGCAAAGGAGGGGGATCCGCGCGGACTTCTGAACTGTGGTAATGCATCTTTTGTTCCTCCCAAGGAGGACGAGATGGAGCGGGTAGCCCAGAAGGCGAGGGAGGCTCTCGAGTTCGACAAGACTTCCGCGTATATGTTCTTCGAGGAGAAGCTGCCAGAGCTTAAGGAGGAGTTCGGGCTGAAGAAGTATGTGGAGTTCAACCAGCAGGCGGGCGACCTGGTCGTGGTGCCGTCCGGATGGTACCGCGTCTCCCTAGCGCTGGCGGACTCCATATCGTATTTCCAGAGCATCCTGGCCGAGAAGGCATCTGCGCTTGTTTGACGCTTCAGCCAGTCCTTGCCCCACGCCTGCGCATGCCATTCAAATCCTTGCGGGCCAGGCATGCTCGCTGTCCACCAGTACGTGTCGTACCTGCCACAGTCGATCGTGCATTTGCCGGCGACTCGTGTGTTGTCGTCTTCGCCCTGGTCTTGGGGCGTTCTGCAGGGGTGCTGGCGGGTGCTGGCAGTACTTCGCCAGGCGGTGACACGGCGCCGCTTGGGAGAATGCTGTACTTGTCTGACGCGGCTTTCATCCCACAGGACAGAGCACGAGCGCCCGTGGCTTCTCCATGATGCGTTTTCGATAGGGGCCGCAAGTGGGAATGTATGGCCAAGGAGGAAATGATGGAGGCGGGGGATGAGGATAAGACAGAGGCAGTCGAGCAAGAGAGGGCAAAAGTTCGGGCGACGAGGGTGGAGGATGCGACAATCAGCTTGGGCATGGGCCCAGCCAGCCCCACGTAGCTGCGTGTATCACAGGGTGTGGCCCTCTCTTCATGTACTGCGCGCCGTGGGAAGTGTGGACAAGGGGCTGCGGAGCAAGCGCGCAGAAGCGTGCTGAACGCCCCGTGAGAGACGGTCCGGGTAAGGGGTGTGCCGAGATTAGCTTAGGGCCACCACGATGGTGCGAAGCTAGTCGCGCTTCGCGCTTCGCGGTCTGGGCGATTTCAGAGCGAGGCGCGAATCCCTCATCTTGTTCCGCGGGGGTGCGGGGGGCGGCACGAAAGCGCACAGATAACCGCGCTTCGCCCTTCGCGGAGCGCGAAGCGGAGGGCACCATGCGAGCGCGGCCATTGAGGCCGTACGTGGAGCTCTCTGTTGGGCACGATCCGCGCGAGGGGTTCGCCAGAATGGGCGGGGCGACGCCGTGCCCGCTGGGGCCGTGGGTGGAGCTCTCTCCAGAGCACTATCCGTGTGAGGGGTGCGCTGAAGTGGATGATGATGATGATGATGATGATGATGATGATGATGATGATGATGATGATGATGATGATGAGGATGATGATGATGATGAGGATGATGATGACGATGACGATGATGCTGCTGATGATGATTATGATGATGCTGAGGATGCTGCTGATAATGATGATGATGATGACGACGATGATGCTGCTGATGATGATGATGCTGATGATGATAATGATGATTCTGCTAATGATGATGCTGCTGCTGAAAATGATGATTATGGTGATGCTGCTGATGATGATGATGTTGATGATGATGATAATGATGATGATGACGACGATAATGATTATGATGATGATGACGATGATGATTATGATGATGATGATGACGATGATGATGATGATGCTGCTGCTGATGATGATGATGATGGTGGTGGTGGCGGTGGTGATGATGATTGTGATGATGCTGATGATGATGATGATGATGATGATGCTGCTGATGCTGCTGCTGATGATGATGCTGATGCTGATGATGATCATGATGATGCTGATGACGATGATGATGATGATGATGATGATGATGATGATGATGATGCTGATGGTGATGATGATGAGGATGATGATGATGAAGATGATGATGACGATGACGATGCTGATGCTGATGATAATGATGATGACGTCGATGATGAGTATGATGATGCTGAGGATGCTGCTGATAATGATGATGATGACGACGATGATCTTGCTGATGATGATGATGATGATGATGATGATGATGATGATGATGATTCTGCTGATGATGATGCTGCTGAAAATGATGATTATGCTGATGCTGCTGATGATGATGATGTTGATGATGATGACGATGCTGATGATGATGATAATGGTTCTTGGTGGTGGTGATGATGATTATGATGCTGCTGATTATGATGATGATGCTGCTGCTGATGCTGCTGATCATGATGATGCTGATGCTGATGATGATCATCATGATGATGCTGATGACGACGATGATGATGATGCTGCTGACGATGATGATGATGATGAAGATGATGATGATGATGATGATGATGATGCTGATGATAATGATGATGATGATGACGACGATGATGATTATGATGATGCTGAAGATGCTGCTGATGATGATGATGATGACGACGATGATGCTGCTGATGATGATGATGCTGATGATGATGATGATTCTGCTGATGATGATGCGGCTGCTGAAAATAAGTGTATGCTGATGCTGTTGATGATGATGTTGATGAAGATGATTATGACGATAATGATGCTGATGATGATGCTGATGATGATGATGATGGTGGTGGTGGTGGCGGTGGTGATGATGATGATGATGATGATTAGGCTGCTGCTGATGATGATGATGCTGCTGATGCTGCTGCTGATGATGATGCTGATGCTGATGATGATGATGGTGATGCTGATGACGATGGCGGTGGTGATGATGATGCTGATGATGATGATGAGTATGATGATGATGAAGAAGATGATGATGACGATGACAATGATGATGCTGATAATAATGATGATGATGACGACGATGATGATTATGATGATGCTGAGGATGCTGCTGATAATGATGATGATGACGACGATGATGCTGCTGATGATGATGCTGATTATGATGATGATGATGATGATGATTCTGCTGATGATGATGAGGCTGCTGCTGAAAATGATGATTATGCTGATGCTGCTGATGATGATGTTGATGATGATAATGATGATGCTGATGGTGATGATGATGATGCTGATGATGATGATGATGATGGTGGTGGTGGCGGTGGTGATGATGATGATTATGATGATGCTGATGATGATGATGATGATGATGCTGCTGCTGATGATGATGATGCTGCTGATGCTGATGATGATCATAATGATGCTGGATGACGATGATGATGATGATGATGATGACGAAGATGATGGTG